GGAGCTAGAGAGGGGCTTGAGTGAAGGTTTCAGGCCGGGGGAGTGTGTGAAATTTGGGGATTCAGATTAGGAAGCGAAGTCAAAGGAGTGAGAAAGCTCGTAGGGCTGTAGTGTCAAATCTGAGGGGAGAGCAAAGAGAGGTGGTGAGGTGGTTAGGATGAGAAGAATTGGAACAGCAGAGGGAAAAAATAATGGAAAAAAAGAGAAATGCCAGAACAAAGAGAAGTACTAATTTAAGACTATTGGTGCATGGGTGGAAAAAAAAAATCAAACACAAACCAAACCAGTGTGCAGAGCACTCTATATCTGGCATAACTCAGCTTTGAGGACTTTTAAAATCTCCTTAGCTAACTTCTGGAAGGTAAAGGCACATCTAAAGCACTAAGAAAACCCAAGGCTCTGCCATCTCTGCTGTCAGTGAACTCCGTTTCCAAGTACAGCTGCATACATTAGCAGTCCATAATGAGCCATGTGGAGAATAGCAGGTGTATTTGGGGAACTTATGTGTGGATGCCATTTCCATGCGACGCGGTGACTGCGGTGCACTCGCTGCGTAGGTGTGTGCTGCGCTCAGTGCAAGTTTGTGTAATCTGCTCTTTCTATATAGAAAGAGTTGGGATCCTGGAGAACTGGTCCCACGTGATAACCAAAAAACTACCTAGAATGTGGCAACTTTCCAATATAATCACACTTTTTTTTTTTTAAGATTTATTCTAGCATGAAAGAGTTTGATTTCAGCCCTTCAGTGATTTACCCCTAAACAGTGCTTTTTTTTGGAAAGCCTCTGAACTAATCTCAGCAACCCCTGACCTTGAGTCCCTGCTCTGAAGTGGCAGAGCCCAGCTGCTACAATGGTTTGCCCTTGCTCTCTGGACTTCAGTTAAGCTGTAATGATCTTCCTTGGCTTCAAACCTGCCACTGGAGTTCACTTTCAATCCACCTTAGATAATTACTTTTACTTGGTTAAGCTTAGGGCAGCAGCAGTCATTCACCCTACAGGGCTAATCCTGTTTCACATGAAGGATTTTTGACACCTTTCCTTGCTTTGTTTTTTGTGTCACAGTAAACTCAACATGCCAGGCATGGATTTGTTTGGCTTTACAACCTTTCACCCACATTAGTACCAACTGGTGCAATTATGAGTGCCAGGGCTTTACACCTTCCTCATTTCATATCCTGCTGCTTAAGACGTGATCCACCTGGCTGGCTCTTTCCTTACTTTTGAGGCTATTTATGACTATTGCCATGTTGTGTTACCTGTCACAGTGACGACTCCAGCCTCCTAGTCAATAGTGACCTCTTCCCTTTCATCCCAGTTTGCTGTCTTTCTGATAAGTGCCTTCTTGTATTTTACCCTCATAGTTTCAAAGGGAACTCCTCAGATACTGATACAACTCATGCACCACTCTCTAATTACTCCGAGATTTTTCTTGCACTGCTGTTGTGGTTTATACAGTTGCTCTATCACCTGATGCCTCCTCCCCACGTGGGGAGGGAAGTTGGGAAAAGGAAAGGAGGAGTAGGCTTCAGGGTTAGAACAGTAAAGTAGTCCGTCTTGAGATGTCAACCATGGAAGAGGAAGCAGGAGGGAGAGGAAAAGGCAGAAAAGGAGGAAGAAGGGCTGTCCCCAGCGAACTCCCCAGTTTATAGAGAATGTGACATGATATTATTAATTGTTCAGCCTGGGATCACCTTGGGGTCAACTCTCCTAGGTTTCCATTCCCCCAGCCTTTGCATCTGTTTATCTCCAGACCTTGAAGACCTTGAGTACTACAGCAACCTGCATGGAGTATTAGCTGAAACCTGTAACAAAGTTTATATCAACTTTGTTCCCATGAAATAGTGTGTTGTAGTCCTTACAAAATTGCAGTTTTCCTCAACAGAACACTGACTCTAAAATTCTTTCCCACTAAGCAAAGACACATGCTCAGTGAAAATACAGGGCTGCTTGGGAGCGAGAACTCTTGCCTGTTGGGCAGTGCTATTTTCAGGGTTTCCTGCTAGTCCTCTTTTTTGGGTCTGTCACTCAGGAAACGTTTTGGAGCAGGGGTTCCCTGTGTTTATACAGTTCCTAGTGTGGTGGAAGTTTAGACTCTGACTTGGAACACTAGGTTCATATGATCAAGTAAGTAATAAATCACAACAACTTGCTGTAAAACGATAACTATTGGGCTATTAAATATTAACAGTAAAGAAGTAGTTTACCTTGGCCAATTTAATTTTCATAATTAATACAAATAAGGTACATTATTTTTCATAACCAAATGTTTCCTAGGGAGATGAAGTACAGTTCAAATTTTGGTAAAAGTATTTTACAGCAAGTAAATACTTGGTTTTGATGTTTTAAAATCTTGTCTGTATTTGGTTTTATTTAATTTCTGTGTTTTTGGTACAGCACTGATGACATGTACTTACCTGCTTTCCACTACTGTGACCGCTAATAAGCCAGTAGACCTTTCTCCTGTGTTTGAGTATACTCAACTGACATAAAACTTCCCTACTTGTTTGACAAGGCCACCATTCACAGCATCCTGTTTTAAGGGAGACTGCTGAGATTTCTGTAGGCTAGTTAATGGTTTTTTTACTTTTTTTTTTTGTCCTGCACCATGAGCTTGTTAGCTCTCTCTTACCTAAACATTCATTTTTAGAGAAAGACCTTAAATAGAGCTTTCCAAACTGAGCGGGATCATTATTATCATCTAGTCTCATCTCCTGATGTTACCCTTATTTCATGGTAAATATGAACCTTAATCTTATTTGGCTTCTTTTTTTCTAAGGGGTCCACTGCAGACTTGCATTAGGCTGATCAAAAGAAGAACTGCGATCTGCTATGTTTCATCTCTGTCTCTCATGCACAAGTACACAGGTGAAAAGCTTGCTGCAAATGCAATGTGGTAATTGCATGTCCATGTGTCTCTTTTGAAGCTGAGAAGCATGCTGGTGTGTCTTGCGTGACAACGTCTATGGATGATATACAGTTTGAAGAGGCTGCCAGGTACAAAACCAGCTCACAGCAGTCAGATGTTTTCATCGTAGAGATTCTTGTTTGGCAGAGATAAACTGGGGCATTATAAAATCTGAGATAGCAGGCCAGTGAACTCCCACAGTCACAGGATTAAGTCTCAAAATTGGTCTCTTCTATCTGTGATAGCCTGAAAACCCACCTAAAAAACCAGATCAATTTCACAGGTCAAAAATGAACTGTAGTTACTTTGACTTGGCAACCCAGATGCCAGGTGAGAAACTGCTGGCCCAGTGGTCTTCAGCTCTGATTAAAGTGAATGCTGCAGGCCGTTAATTATCTCTGTTAAATAAGGAATATATACCTACAACAGTTGCTGTATGCATTTTTTTTATTGTTGCAAGAGTGCTTTTGGTTTATTTGTTACCCTCTCCTTCTTTCAGCTCTTTTAAAAAAATGTGTTCATGTAACAAAACAGGAATGATTTGCCTTTGTGATCACTGAATACTGTGTGCATCTACAAGATAATACAGGACTTAATTTTTGTTTAACTGTTTTTCATTATTTTCCGTGAGATAAAAGGCACTGAAAGAAGAAATAACACATTCATTCCTAAACCATAGATTTACAGAAACAAAGCCATAACTTTGTTGTTTCTGAGTGTTCTTGTACCTTGCAATCTGGAAATTAATGAGTGCTTAGGCGGGATGGACCTGGTTACACAAACCAATGCATGTGCAGTTGTCCTGACTGTGGACCAAGGAACATTAGCTGTCCAATGTACAGCTGATGTGAACTTAAAGCTGTCTGCAGCACACAGGTGTAAAATAGACATCCACTCACTCTTCTGAACAGCATATTTTTAGAGTAGTGGCCATTGGGATGAGAGCTAGAACCAGTAACAAAGAAGTGAACACAGTCATACTGAATCTAAAACTCAACAGAATTTATTGGTCTGCTTTACAAAATCAGTTTTAAAGTGTTTGTCCTGCCTGTAATTGTTCTGTGTTTTTAATTTTGTCCTTAGGAAGAAATCTTGTCTGTGAAAACTGTAATCAAAGAGGCCTACAGATGAAGCGAGCATAATGTTTTCTCTTCCAGGTGTAATATGTAAGACTTCAGTAGCTTCAGAGAAATTTTCTCTGTTGTTTCTGAGAGCAGAACATACTTTTCCTTCCAAATTTGTTTCTAATTATGTTCTCCTTGCACTTGTGGTGCCAATGTTTCATTTTTAACAAGAATTTAGGGCACAGGTGTAGTAACTGTGAAATGGTTTCAGTAATTATTTTTCAGCCTCAGGACATACCTAACATTGTGTTAGTACCTTACTGTGTAATTTCCTAAATTTTGCCAGATCTTGTTGATTATAGAAACATCTTGCATAAGTAAGACAGCTCTTGTATCTCACTGTAGTAAATTAAAAAGATGCTTTCTAAGTTCCCTGCTGTAAGGTTCCATTTACCTGACTCAGGTTACCAAATGTTCTGAAAGGACTAACTCTTCTGTGCTTATTTCTTTTCTGTTGACATGGAAACAGAGATTTCCAAAAAACTATGTATTGCAAAACCCATGATAACAAATAAATCCCTCTTGTCTTTTAATATACAGCACTTCAGTGGTAGTAAGAACATCTGATTTTAAATTACATTTATTTAAATTTTGTTAATGCTACATGTGTTCATTCTGATATATTTAAAAAACTTTCTGCCAGTTACAAGTCAAACTGTGATGTTCTGTGTCCTTACAAATCTATTTAAATGCACTAGCTGACCAGCTCTCTTGACTGAAATAAATCAGTTTGTCCAAAGTGAGAGTACTCGCTACAGTGTAAACCATGTCATTTTGAAACAGTTTCTGAAGAAGCTGAAAAGACATTTCCCTGTCATACTGTCTGACCATCTCAGTTCTGACATGTTTATTTTCTGATATGGCTGTGGACCCCAGAGGACTACACTTTTTTGCAATTAAATATGAGTCCAGCTATGTAGATTGCTTGTAGCACCAGGTAAGATGTCGGTCCAACAGGGAATCTAATGTCTGTGAAGTCCAAATCTGCCTCATTGCCGGACTGACATCTCGGGCTGAGTCAGGTCATGTCCAGCTTTGTCCTGTTGCTCTTGCCCTGCAGTTTCCTCAAAGGTGGACAGACCCAGACTTACCTCTCTCAGCCTCTGTTATGCAATGTTCTCACACAGAGGAAGAGAGGTCACCAGGGAGGTGTCACTGACAAAGGTGAAATAAATAATCTTTGTGCAGAAGAGGAGTGCTCTGCCAGTAAACCTGAAATAGAGACCTTTGCGTTCCCCACTGGGACATCATGGACAGCCCGGCATCATGATGTTCTTGGCAGGGACCACGACAATCTCTGCAAGCATCTGCAGAGACTCTGAACTCTCCCTCCTCTCCCTCTTTTAAGAAGAGCCTCACACTTGCTATTAGTAGGTACGAAGACAGGCTGAGAGAGTTGGGGTTGTTCAGCCTGGAGAAGAGAAGGCTCTGGGGAGACATAGCGACCTTCCAATACCTGAAAGGTGCCTATAAGAAATCTGGGTAAGAGCTGTTCACTGGGGCATGTAGCCATAGGACAAGGGGGTAATGGTTTTAAACTAGAAAAGGGGAGATTTAGGTTGGATTCTAGGAAAAAGTTTTTCAACATGAGGGTGGTTGATCACTGGCACAGGTTGACCAGAGAGGTGGTAGAGGCCCCATCCCTGGAGATATTCAAGGTCAGGCTTGATGGGACTCTGAGCAACCTGATCTGGTGACATTGTCCCTGCTCACTGCAGGGGTTGGACTGGATGAGCTTTAAAGGTCCCTTCCAACCCAGTACATTTTATGAGTCTATGATTCTATGATTCTATGTGTCATGTTCAGTCGTAGAATTTATTTGATGAATGTATTCTGTCTTTTTTCACCTTGTACTTGACTTCACCACTACTGCTGTGTTACTGTAATCTTCTTGTGAGTTTTAGGGCAGATACAGAGTCCTCAAAGGGGTTTCAGGGTACTTGACTGAGTTCTGTCTCTAAGGTTTCTAAAGCCTTTTTAAGAGACCATAAGGTTAACTTCTTTTCCAAGCTTGAACATAAACACTCTGTTACTGTTCTGAACACACTCTCCTTTTTGTACATGAGCTGGTGGTTCCCTTAGCTATGCAGTTTAGAACTATTATGTTAGTGATTGTACTTTCTCTTTGCAATTAATGGTGGAAAAACTCCTGAATATGTTCTTCAAAAGGTGTATCACAAATGGTCTTAATTCTTTCCACTACCCATTTTTCCCCCCAGTCTACTCAAAGGCTTCCACTTGCGTTCTTGAATGTGAACAAGAGAGAGGAAGTTTCTGTACAGTTTTTTGTTTCTGTCTGGTACTGTAAAGGAGTACCTTTACTCCCCATTCTAGTGTTTGATAACAGTTTGTTTGAAGTTCTGGCATCGAGAGAAGCAATTTAAGAGAAGTCTTATTTTTAAACATCAAAAGTGTATTCATTAAATTAGGAAGAAAATATAAAGAAACATTGTTTTATAACCTGGGGTCATAACTCTGCCAAATATTTAGTTGTAAATGCCTATTTCATCAGCACTCAAGTGTCTGGGTTATATTTTGCAGTCTCGGATGTAGCTAGCTGCGCTTTGTGTGCACTGGGACTGATCTGTAGCAGTCAGTCAAAATTCCCTGATGTCAGTGGCCTGATGCCCAGTTATTTTGGCCATGGTTCTTTCTTACCCTGCACATTGTGTCCTTTTACTGCTCTGCTCGGTAAGACAACTTTAGGGGAAACTGCCTTCTTTCCACCCTTCCAGCATTGCCTTGTTTTAGGCTATTAGGGGCTTAAAAACAAGGATTGCTCCTGTTATCAACATATAACAGGTATTTTAGAAATTCCAGAAGGAAAGTGAAAGTATGTTCTCATTTAAATTTTATTCTATGTAGGTAAAAAGTTATAATTTCATGTAGGTATTCTGAGTAGGTA